CTAGAACATGGCCATATAGCCCAAAAAACCTACAACAACCCAGTGATTCTGGCCATGAAAGCCTTTGACAATCCATTGAAATCAGATCCAGTCCATCCCTCCTCACTTTCTGAAAAAAAGTGAAATCCTGGCTGTGGGATCAGGTCTTTGTGTGAACTAGATGGATTTGATGGCAAAGCTATGGTTTTGATGGACTCTGATGGACTGTTTGTTGTAGTAGAGTATGTTGGAAACGCTACTAATGCTAGTATGGGTGGCAGAAGAGGGTTCCGACACTGTTCTTAAGACAATTACTTAAACTGGTGATTGTTTACATGTTTTAATAATGTTTTATACTGTTTTTAACTTATTATGTATATCTATGTTGCTGTTAGCCACGGCTGGCGGGGACGAGGGAGAGGGCCTTCTCGGTGGTGGCCCCCCGGCTGTGGAACACTCTCCCGGCACACATCAGACAGGCGCCCTCCCTCATGTCCTTTCGGAAAGGCCTTAAGACCTGGTTGTTCGAGAGGGCATTTAATTAAGTGCTAAGCAACAAACAATACGGTAATGAGAACTGGAATGGTATAAGGAAGATGAGACTGGCTATGTTTCTACTAAAAGACGAAGCGGATTTTTATGTAGTCTGTAATTGTTGTATAGTTATATGTTGTTGATACGGGTTTTGTACTGTCTTTTATGTGTACTGTACACCGCCATGAGTCGCCCGCATGGGCTGAGAATGGCGGTCAATAAGTGCATCAAATAAATAAATAAATTAGCCGTCCTGAGTCCCTCTGCGGAGGTCGAGATAGCACAGGATATAGAGGTCCTAAATTAAAAAAAATAAAAGCACAATCAAAGCACCCCAATGGATGGCCAGGAAAAGACCGGAAAAGAGATTTAAAGATGGGCTCAAAGCCAACCTTAAATACTCTGGCATAGACACTGAGAACTGGGAAGCCCTGGCCCTTGGAGGTCAGCTGTGACAAGCAGTGCTGCAGAATTTGAAAAGGCACGAATGGAGGGCGAAAGAAACGTGCCAAGAGGAAAGCGTGTCAAGCAAACTCTGACTGGGACTGCCTTCCACCTGGAAACAGATGCCCTCACTGCAGAAGAAGATGCAGATCAAGAAGAGGGCTCCACAGCCACCCACGGACCCACAAGAATTCTGTTCCTGGAAGACTATCCTACTCGTCCAACGAGGGATCGCCTAACCAATGGATGGCCATCCAGCCTTTGATTAAAAGCTGCCAAGGAAGACTACATCACACTCCATGGCAGAGAGTTCCAGTGCTAAACAGCTCATATGGTCAGGAAGTTCTTCCTAATCATAGGATCGTAGAGTTGGAAGAAACCTCGTGAGCCTTTATTTATTTATTTACTATATTTATATGCCATCCCTCTCAGTCTGGAGGTGACTGGGGGCGGTTTAAAGTCAGGACTGAAATCATAAAATGCAATTAAAAACATCAAGATAACATAAAACTATAGCAAAATCAATAAAAGAATGAGTCATTGAGTCTCTTAGTTAAAAACATCTGATCACATTGTCTAGTTGTTGATTTTTCTATGTCTGTTACACTGTGTTTGCAAACGCTTGCTCAAAAAGCCACGTCTTGACTTTTTTTCTGGAATGTTAAAGGGGAGGCGGCCAATCTGATATCCCTAGGGAGGGTGTTCCATAGCCGAGGGGCCACCACTGAGAAGGCCCTGCCTTTTGTCCCTGCCAGCCATACTTGTGACGAAGGCGGGATGGAGAGCAGCGCCTCCCCAGACGATCTTAAAGTCCTGGAAAGTTCATAAGGAGAGATGCGTTCAGACAATCCAACCCCCTACCCAGAAGCAGGAAAACCACATGATGTTAAATGGAATCTCCTTTCCTATCATTTGAACTTGTGGGTCATAGAATCATAGAATCAAAGAGTTGGAAGAGACCTCATGGGCCATCCAGTCCAACCCCATTCTGCCAAGAAGCAGGAACATCGCATTCAAATAACCCCTGACAGATGGCCATCCAGCCTCTGTTTAAAAGCTTCCAAAGAAGGAGCCTCCACCACACTCCAGGGAAGGCAGAGAGTTCCACTGCTGAACGGCTCTCACAGTCAGGAAGTTCTTCCTCATGTTCAGATGGAATCTCCTCTCTTGTAGTTTGAAGCCATTGTTCCGCGTCCTAGTCTCCAGGGAAGCAGGAAACAAGCTTGCTCCCTCCTCCTCCCTGTGGCTTCCTCTCACATATTTATACATGGCTATCATATCCCCTCTCAGCCTTCTCTTCTTCAGGCTAAACATGCCCAGCCCCTTAAGCCGCTCCTCATAGGGCTTGTTCTCCAGACCTTTTATCATTTTAGTCGCTCTCCTCTGGACACATGAAATACCCTGTACACATTTTTTTCTGTCCTGAGCAATATCTTTCTTTTCTCTTCTCTTTGTAACCTTATATAAAGTATAAAAGTAATTCTCCCTCTAAGTAATTAATTCTTATTGAAAAATACTGTAAGTTAAAGGTGGCACAATCAAAGCAAAGCACTTCCAATTCTTGATTTTAGCTTTCCAAATCTTGATTTTGGCTCTATTGAACTCCATTCCCTGGCATGTGTATTCTGATGAGGAACTGAAGACACCAAGGGAGACTTTCACAAAACACAACTGCAGGTCTTCTTGGGAAAAAAGCCTTTATTTTCTGTCAAGCTCTTCCTTTCTTATTATTAAAAAAAAGACATTTTGTACAAACAGATTTCTCCAGACCACTGTGTGTGAGGCCTGCAACCCTGTGTCCAGAAGCCTTCATCCCACTAAGAAAGCAGGCCAGTGGGCTCCTCACTTGCCCAGGGCGGCGGTCACCTCCTGCAGGTGCTCCCTGACCACCTGGTCCAGCACCACGTAGACGTCCTTGCAGGCTTTGCTGGCGGCCTCCATGATGCGCTCCAGGTGGTCCTCATGTAGCCGGGCATTCATCTCCAGCAGCGCAATCTGCTCCGACTTGGGCAGCAAAGCCAGGGCCAGCTGAGGGCCGCCAGAGGCCTCCTCCACGTAGTTCAGGTCGGCCAGAGGGGTGTCTTCGATGAAGCCGGCCGAGCTGGCACACACGTAGTCCCGCAAGGGGATGCCCGCGTCAATCACCGCCAGCGTAGCCGCGTTCACCGAGGCACAGTAGTTGCCCCCGTCCGCTTGCAGGATCTGGGGAAGAAATGAATCATAAGAGTTGGAAGAGAACCCAAAGGCCATCTAGTCTAAGCCCCTTCTGCCTTCATGCAGGAAAAGCACAATCAAAGCACCCCTGGCAGATGGCCATCAACCATAATAATAATAATAATAATAATAATAATAATAATAATA